AGAGATTACATTTTATAGATGCAGCAAGTAAATCTCTACAAAGACAATGATTCTAATAGCTCATGCAAGAGATATATTAAAAGCTCATCTTCATCATGAAAATCGAGGGTCTCTTGTAGAGGCGAGAGACTCATTTACTGTTGAACCTTCGAGATAAGACGAGAAAGAGCTTCTTCTGGTTTCGTCTTGCAAAGTAGGTGAAGTATAGATAAGACATTTTTAGAGAAGCCCAGAGAAGTTGGAGGAAGTTCAAAGTAACTATTCATAAAAAATCTTTATTTATGTTTCCTAGGCAAAGTTTGGAAGGTTTTTCGTCCTCGAGAGAAGCCATTTTAGACGTGTCTCTCCAAACCGAGCCTAAGTTTGTTACAAATACATTAATGTTAATTGTAATTCATAGCAAGAGAATCTATAGGGTCGTGGAATTCAGAAAAATGAATTTTAACCTATCCGGATTTCTGTCTTAAAATTTCAGCACTCTCCTTCCTCGAGAAGATAATGAGGGAATTAAACAATAAATGGCCAGATAGGTTTCTGCCTGGATTTAGTGAAGAGTTGATAGGGATGGACACACAAATTCGGTAGATATACACCCACGTTATTTAGAGAAAATGGTCCAATAATCTCACACTAATAATTAAATCTTAATACCAAAACAGCAATACTTATTTATTAGCCAAAACTCTGAATTGATTCTCCTCAGAAAAATGTTGTACCAAACAAAATGGAGGTTCACAATAGATAAAAAAAATTAAAATATAATATTTATATTTTGAAAGTAGATAAGATAATATCTATCAGGTAATAAAAACTCAACAATGATAGTAGACACTGATGTTGAAATAAAACGAAAAATATTAAGGGAAAATCTAGAAATCTGGAAAGGAAAAAAAATTACAAAGTGAAAATCGACTTGCCTGATCAGCGGTCTGCAAAAGAAGAGGCCTTTTTAGAACCAAATCCCTTGAAGAAAACCAGTCTTGTGCTTTTTTGTACTCAACTGTGTACTAACTATTGAACAAATCAGAAGACAACACACACAAAATACCGTGCTCACTTCATTAATGGAACACCATGCTAATTAAATGGGAATTGGTAGATAAAAACACACTATACTGTATTTTTTCCCAAGATAGATTTGGAAACTGGAAATCCGGAGAAGTAAGATGGGTTATTGAAAAAATCTATTGAATATATAGAGATTTATCTGAAAATGTTCAAATAATTCCCACAGTAAACTCTCGCGTCTATTTTTCGCCAACATTTCTCTAGAATTTAGCTTTACTTCTTCTCACAATTTCTGCCAAATTCATTTTTGTTGCAAACAACTACAAATTCTTAGCCATAGAAATTCTATTCCAGATGATCTCGAACGCAACTACAGATCCGAAAACACCGAAGAAATCATCGCCCCGGACAATAATTTGAAGTCGCCATTTCCCATCAATCCAGCTCCCACGTTGACGTCTCCAAGATCTCCGATACCTCTCCATAGGCAATCGTCGCCGTTTCCTTTGGAGAGCATAGTACATTCCAGACGTATCAATTATCAACCAGTACCGGAACGACTCAGAACTGTTACTGGTAAGTAAATAATTATTTTGACAGAATAAATTTCACCCACGATGAAAAAAACTCCAGCTGAGAATTTGAAATTTGAAACAGCTACACAAATATCTTTTATGGATTTTTTTCAAAAAAAAAGTCTAAGTATTAATTAGATCGTAACTCTCACTTTGGGTTGGGTTTACCTCGAAAGAAAAAGTCAGCCTTTGAGGCCATTAAAAGAAAACCTTAAGGCTATTTGACCGAAAAAAAAATGGCTTCGTCGCGACGCTGGCTTTTTTTCGCACAAAATCTCTCGTTAATGAATAAAATTATAACATTTTTGTTTAATTATCTTTGTCTGGCTCTGAGGCTTTTCCTAATGGTTTTATTTGATACGGATAAGCTTTTCATGTATTTTTAAATATAGCTTTGTGGTTGCGACTTAAGAGACTGGTAAAAACCTTACGATTTTTTCTTGACAATACCAACAAAAATGTTTCTCAACTCGAACTCATCGATCCTACAGCCGCGATCTGAAACCATAATACGCATAAATGTAATCAACGATAACCAAGTAAACGAAGGCTACTGTTGCGATGCAGTAGTTTTAGAAGAAGTTTACTTAGCAAAAGCTATTTTAGAATTGATGGGAACATTACTGCTGTAACTTCTATCGTAAACACTTTGAGAAAAGCCGTGCTATTAAACTTTATCAATGTGGAACTCGAGAAATTCCACGAAGATCACTGTTTCAGTTTTAATGCTACGCAATCAGAAACCTCGGATTCTCACACGGTTGATCAAATTTCAACGTTAGAAAATAATTCAAGATTAGAACATCTTAATTCTGAAGAAAAATTGTCAGTTTTGAATCTTTATTACGTGAACAAGACGGGCATTGCCACTTTGTTACCCGCAAAACGTAAGGGAGAAGTTAACGATAAGATTTGAGGAAGGGAGATAGTGAATGGGTAACTAAAACAGAGAAATAAAAAGAGAAGAGAGAGGGTTGGTTGGTGGCTGAAATCTAGAAACGTGATTTCGTGTAAAGGGTTGCCGACTAGCTTCCAATACGGAGAGGGGTGTGGGTTAATTAAATAACTAAATATAGAGTGCCACCTGCTTTTTCCCTGCAGTACACGAAATCAACCGATATAACGAAAGCAGGAAACTTCTACGGACCTATAGCAGCACAACCTGAAATATAAACGTAAACAAGAAGGGAGGACAAAAGTGAAACGCTTTGCTACAATCAGGTACGGGTTTTAATTAGAACAAGAACCGTGAAACCAGAACAGGTTGACTCTAGAGCAGGTTCGGAGTGAGTTTTTCGAATAGCCTGAGGGGCAAATTTAATAGTATGAAATAATATAGGAGCTATAGATAAATACTTAAAATTGAAGTACCTAATAGTACATAACCTGAATGGTAAATTTCATATAACAAAGGTAATAATTAATTGAAACTGAAATAACAACATCTAATCTGAGGGGTAATTTAATATTGCAGTAGAACTGCGTTGTTGTGGTGATTTACTCCAACAAGGGGTTGGTAAGGTTTGATATTAAGACAATACAACACACTTATCAAACCTGAGTAGTCCCTAAACCTCTTGAGGGGGAACCTGAAGGATTGAATCAATATCTCCCAATGTTTCCGATGGCCTGGAACTGGATCAGGATCGCGACAAGAAGCAACTGACCCTGGGCACTGAAGTTTGCAGTAACTAGGAGTCACTAAGGCTTCCAATTGTCTAAAGAAGGCTGAAGATTGTAGGTCCTACTCGAAGTATACAGTAAGCTTAACGTATAACTCTTTACTGAAAGTTAGGGACTAAGCGTGACGAACAAAAGGGGACATCTAAGGGTAAACATTAAAGCGTAACTTCTAAAGGTGAAGATTAAAGGTGATGAATAAAGGCCTGAAACAAATGGACGTTATGAGACAGGGCGTGGAGCAATAGTATGTCCAATATTCGGAATTTAACCATATTATTAACAGAAAACTATGCTTTTACATAGGAAATAGAGAAACAGAGAAGATTAATAAGAAAAACGGCTTACCAAAATACTTTGGCCTTTAGGAACAAACAATTGGTCACATTGCTCTTTCTCGACTCACAAAAAAAATCCGCACAAGGCGATTGGGTGCTAAAATAACGGATTAGCCACCCTAGATCTATGAGCGAAAACTAGACAACTCAGAAAATCGGCAAAATGTGCCTGAGGAATTTTCCCGAACACTTAATCGTGAAAAGTCCTCGACCTGAATGACCTCTGCTTGTCCCTGCAATGTCCTTTAAAAAGTCTCTGTCAAAACTCCAAGGTGGAAAGTACTGGGGAATTTTGATGGTAGTTGGGGCATGGTACTTATTCAAATTAAGTTAGTACCGGTCATTGACTCTATTTGGAGCGCTGTCAATCTAGACAATCTACTCGGATCAGACAATCAGCTGTTCTAGTATAAATATTGTGATTTTGTTTGTTAATAAATTAATTGTCTATTTATTTTAACCCTACTAACAGGAAATCAATTCCATTAATAAACCTCTAACTTAATGATTCTGGGAAGAATGAAAAGTTTGATGAAAAGTATGGCTACAACTATTGGATAGAAAACAGTGGCTTGAGGAAGGTATGCTATTCAGAGAGGTGAATAAGCTTATTTCCTTTTATTTTGGTGCGGGAAAAATCATCCCGTAACATCTTTGCTGAGAATTCAACCATATTTTTTATTTATCGAATGATTACTTGACATTCACTCAAGCGATTCAATGTAGAATAAATACGACCACTGATGCCCCAAATGCATTCCAAAATATATAGACCTCCAAAATGTCATGAATCTGAAATTTCGAACCAAATTGAAAAAAATATTGAAACAGAAGATAATTCAACCATCTGTTTCCCCATATGATGGCACCACTGTGGGTGGTACCTCAAAAAATTGATTCATCAGGACATCGCAAATGACGGATTGTAGTCGATTTCAGACGCCCTAATAATGTAACTGTAGGCCAAGTTCAGGCAATTCCAAATATTGACAAAATCTTAGACAAGTTAGGACATGCATCTTATTTCACAGTTCTGGATCTAGCCTCAGGCTTCCACCAAATCAAAATGGATCCGGAAAATGCACCAAAAACTGCTTTTTCTACGCTTAATGCACATTATGAGTTTTTACGAATGCAATTTGGTATTAAATGCGCACCAGCAGTGTTTCAAAGATTAAAGAATACGGTTTTAATCGGACTTCAGGGAAATAAATGTTTTGTTTACCTCGATGATCTAATTGTCGTTGGATCAAAATAATTTAAAATTACTGTTGCTGCTACCAGAATCGGACATGGAAGCACCTCTAAAGATGCTAGCCACGCGTGCTAGCGAAACGTCAGGAAGAAATTCCAACTAACGACGGCCATTAAGCCCGAATGAAAACACCTGATTTTTGAAATTTATGTATCTTAAAAATGTTCTAGTAGCTTTTATCTAAACACAAATTTTCCATTTTTGTTTGCGATAAGTTTATTTACAATTTCTCGTACATAAACACTCGAAATCAAATAAATTAGGTAATACATATTTGTTCTTTTTAAGTTTTTTGTTGATCAAAAATAAGTCCTCGAAACTGAATATTTATTCGATTGAAACAAACAAAAAAACAAATTTTCCGCTCCACGATTTATAGATTATTGATAATAATTATGTATTTGCCTTGATGGAAAACAACTGATAAATGATTACCTATATCCTTAATGCACTGTAGGCTGTAAGTACCTACTAATTTTAGGTTTCGTAGCTCAACTGCTTCCTCAGAATGATGTCGGTCACCAAACTTCAAAATCCTTTCTCAGAAAACCATAAAACTAGCAAATCTAATAATGTAATGAAAGACCTGTTGAAATTGGGCATTTCTCTTTAATTGATAATGAATACACTTCAAATCATGGTTCAATGAACTGTTAAGTTCTTTTAGTTAGGGAGAAGAACAAGTCTCTTGGCATCAAATTATTTCGTTGTAACCTTTCATCAACAATTACACATCAAAAGTCTATTACTAATTATTAGATAGTACTAGAAGCCGATTGATTAACAATTAGGTCTCGAAGTCAGAGAAAAAAAAATCGTGTAGAAGCCAAATTTGGCACCTAAATAAAATAAAGTCCTGATGAGTGGGTTGCGAGCTAACGTGGCGGCGGGCGTTTGAAGTTATTTTTATTAGTTTTTGATATATACCTCGAAAACTACGGTTTTTAGCGAAAAAATATAAGAGTCTAGTTATTCGACATGAGACTCTCGATAAAAAAGGTTCTTTATATGTTTTCGCTAGGATTAATACACACAGGGATAGGAATGAAGAAGAAAGGATATATTTAAAAAGTCGATTGGACAAAGGTGATGGAACCTAGATGTGGAAAATTTTTTGAAGGTTCATCTAAGTCGTCATCATTGTGGACATCGCCATCAACGGTGGGCCCATTTGTGCACACTTATTCCGCAAACGATTGCCGCTCTGCGGCATCCACACCGCTCCCCGCAGCTAGTAGTACAGCGGCAAAATATTGTATTCAATATTGTTCCGGGTGCTACAGGGTCGTTCGTTGTTGATGGTAATAGGTCCCCGTCTTCTCCCCTTGTCCAGCCCCATTGGGTGGGCCGTATAGGGTTGTTGAGCCACTGTTGTATCTGTAAAAAATAAAAAAAATACCATAATTGCATGAAGGAAATTAATATTTATAATAAGAAAATAGTATCTGAGAGCTGTATCTTTAGAGAAGAATAATCATGTCTACGTAGGCGCCGTAGGGAAAATACCCTAATTACGACTTTCCCACGGCCTATTTTCGTGATATTTATTTTTAACCTGCCTGATGCTGATGCCAAAGCAATAAGTTGGATGCACAGCAGCTTTATTCAACCCACATCTTATAATAGTGACATCAGCATCCCGTTCAGCGACAATTGTGTCAATTTTTGTTGCTGCCATTTTCTGAGTGAGCTTTTTTATTTTTTCGATTAGCAAAAAAATCCTCTTGTTGAACTGTAATGGCGTGTTTTCGCTAAAGTTGATATCAACTGAGGTTTTTTTAAGCCCTCTTCGCTTCTCCTCTGTTCGTTTTGCACCGTAACCATCGAAAACCACCGTAGATTTTTGACCATAATATTTTAAGACATAAGCAATGTACTGATCGCAAATTGAAGAAGTCTTGGAGCACGCTTGCCATTTCACAAGATGGAAAATGAATCCACCGTCTACGATATTGATGCTTGTTTTGAGATCGAGAGTTGCATTCTCCTCCACTGGAAAAACATCATAGAGATTTCTTCCCTCTCCGCCTTTCGTGAACAGAGCCAGGGGCAATGGCGTTAGTTCATAGATCAAAAGATTTGCCATATCTTTATTAGAGAGATATCGGTAACCCAAATAGTGTCATGCAGTATTAGCGCCTACGTTATTTTGACATTAGAGAGTTATTGGAACTATTAAATACTGCTCCGCAGTATTAAGGATCTACGTTATTTTATTAGTGCATCAGCACTATTTTTCCAAGAAAAAAACAGTTATTGGAAGACTGTAGTAGGTGCTAGAGTATCACCTTATTTTGTATTCATAATATTGACAGATGATAGCTATGTTTATAAATTTCAGCCTCAAAAAGTGTTTATTTTTGTTTGTGATTTTCTGCTGATACTCATTTTTTAATGTTACCCACAGTAAAATGGAAAACTATTGTAAAAAATAAATTTTCTAAGTAAAATTACGTCATCGTCGAAAAGCAAAACGTCAAAGTCGTCCAAAATGTCAGAAATTTCAAATAAGGGAAGTTTACTGCCTCGCACTAACCATACACAAATAAAGATAAGCAGTAACCTTATTAAGGGAAACCTTATTTTCGGACACAAATGCGCATGCGTAGATGTCAAAATAAGGCTGAATTAAATACTGCCTGTCCTTATTGCACGTCCAATAACTCTCTATTAAACCTATGCGCGATTCGATTTTTAACGCTACGTACTAAAATAACGTTACCACATAACGTAATTTACCCAACATTCACCTTAAGCGCTATTTCGAATAAAGGTGAGTTTACACATGCATGAATTTAGTGGCGCCAGTGGTCGCGCCAGTTCTATTTGCACGCCAGTAAAGGTTTACACTTTGTGTGAAAAACAGAAATAAGTGGCACGCCAGTTTCACTTTTAAAGTGCTTTTCTCAGTGTGCACTATGTCGAGTGAACTTTCCGAAGTCTGTAAAATAGTCGCTAAACTTTTAGTAAAAGAAAAAAAGATAAAAGAAATACAGAAAAAGAAACGCAACCAACGAAATGGCCGTTTCTGGGTTGAACCATGGATTGGTCGTCGACCCACTTTGGCTGCTTCTGCAAAACTTCTAGGAGAACTCGCAGCAACCAAAATGAAAATCAAACGAAAAACTGGCGAGCGGACGCCGACGTGCAAGCACTTGTTTACACTTGCAAGTTTTGATTTTCTGTACGAATTTGTCACCACTGGCGCCAGTGATTTCAGAAGGATGCAGACTTTTTTGGACTATGCATTCAAATATAAAATGTGTATGCAAGTCCATGTTTACACTTGCTAATAAAATTTACTGGCGCGCCAATTTTTATTGGCGCCACTACATCCATGCATGTGTAAACTCACCTTAACGCCTAAAAATAACAGCGTGGAATAAGGTTATGTTATGTTTATTGTTTATTTTATTAGTTTTGTTGTGTTTAAGTGAATATGGATTGTTCAAAAAATAGTAAAAAAGCAAATAATCCTCTGTTTCTGACCATAAACAACATATAACACAAATCAAATCAGAACAAGGTACAAGTTAGGCTAAGGTTATGAAATAACGGATGCGAACAGGCAAATTTTACGTTAAATTGTTTTCCGATAACTCTAATTTGAAAGTATGATACCGCTTTACTTTAAAAAAATAACTCCTGACGTTATTACCGTCCATACGCGCTATCTGGTTCACCGATATCTCTCTATTATCTCCTCTTCTTTGCTATAAGAGTTCTTTGAAAAATTGTCAGAGGGTTAATGGTAACTGTCTCGCCATTGATTTTGATGGTACTGCTCATACTTGCTAGCGATAACACCACATTTTTTCTAAACTGCTTTATATCACCAAAATACCACCTTTAAAACTATGCATAATCTTGGTTCCAATATCCAAAGCTTAGTGAAAATTAATTTTTAAGTTTCTCAGAATGCCTGTCGACACAGACGACACAACGAATTTAATTCTGGAAAAGGGAGATGCTCGTTAAACCATTCCTTAATCTTTGCTTGGTCTTGTGAATCTTTCTGTTGCCGTGATTTCCAAAAATTAACGTGCTGCTCTCCACTTTCAAAAATCACTCCAGCAATAACTGCTCTAATGATGCGCAGATGGCGGTGCCTCCCGTAGATCCAGCAAGTCAGGCCTCTTGAGCTTTTCATGGAGCGCATTAGAGTTAACGCTATGGTCATATCAGACCATACTTCTGTGTACCAAGGTGTACCAGATCGATGAATAGCGAAGTACCCCTTTTCTGAAAATTTCTTGTACGCCTGTGGATAGGTATCGTTCAATGATGTCATATCTTGCATGTAGAGGTGCGCACATTTAACATACTGCAAGTACCCACTCGCATGGAAGAATGGGATCATCTGCTGTACACACGTCAAGTGGCCATGCCAATCACCATGACACTCGGAATCGATGAACTTCTCAACTAGTGTAACCATTTTAATATGGTTACACTACCATATTAAAATACTGCGCCCATAAAGAAGCCGTAGGGCCATTTTTCTTCCAACTGGTTTTTGAATTTGCTTAAAGTTGATAACAAACCAGCATTCTCCTCAACTTTGTCTGGAGTAAGTGATGCCATCGTGCTCAACATGTTCATGATCTCTCTCCTTTCTTTTTTTGAAATATTGACTTTCAGCTAAAACAAGTTGATCGAGTAAATGTCCCCGAATCGCTCGGCTGTAAGCGTGGCCGATCAATATTTTGTCAACTGAATTCGCAGCAAATACCTGGCATAGTATTTCTTTTAATCGAGATCTAGTCATTGTGTGACCAATACACCCCATGACAGACATAAGGGTGTGAAATCCAAGTATAAACTTTGATAAAATGTTACAAAACCAGCTGTGGCACCTGCCTCCTGACTATTTTTTGAAGCGAACTATAATGCAGTGTTTATGGTATTGTTGTCGTTAGGTTTAAGTTAATGAATGGAAGAAAAATTACTTTAGTTTTTTCTGTATTATTGACCTTTGCATAAAACCTTCTGGAATAGCTGGCATATCTGGAGTCGGTTCCAAAACCTGTAGCCACTTACCGCTCATCCACAGTACATCTGGAAGCGTGGGTATGAATATGTCCGATGGAATATTCAGCACGGCCAAGTCTTCCATGACAATTTTCTGCAGTGCGCCGTTTACTCTATGGTCAAATGGTTGAAGTTCCAGAACTCCAAGCTTGGTCACTTCTGCCTGGGAGGGAGCAGATTTCAGTCATTCGACCTTCGCGGATGAATGGAAAGGTGGGGCTGGTGTAATACATTTAATACCTCCCATGCTGTGGAAGGTATTCTAGCCATCGATAGTGGAGATGTTGAAATCCGCATTATCAAAGAAATACTGACAAAATGTTTTACTTGAGATAGGCTTTTCAGGGTGGCAGATGGTGGAAAGCTCAAAATGCTGGGCGTCATGATAAGAGGCACTTAATTTTATTAGCGAAAGAAGGAACACCAAGTTCTTTGATCCAAACTTTCTAAACATGAACAAGCAATGCTGGTCAGAATTGGGGATATGAAACATCGAGGGCGAGCAGCAACAATCAGAGCATAAGCTTTAGTATTCAAGGACTCAAGGTGGATAAGCACTCACTATTTTCATAAGCCATAAGCTTCATCTAAGATGATTTCATCAGCTTGTCTTATGATTCTTTCATGTTCTGCTTGTTCATCTTGACACCTTAAAGTATACCACATGTCGTTTAAGATTTTATCACCAGTACTACGAAAGCAGACAACAGTTCTTTTGGTATGAGTCGAACTAAAAACAATGCGGTCCCTATATATTTCCATCATTTTCTGTTAAATATATCTCCTCTATTACGAGAAAATATTTACCTAAAATATTTTTTGTAGGAAATTTTTCGTAGAATAATTTAGTACTTTAGTATTTTTCCGCTAGAAGCTCTAGTTTTCAAGTTATTCAAGAAAAACGTAAAAAAAGACATTCAGAGACCTCCCCACCACGTTAGCTCGCTCCCCACTCATCAGGACTCTTAGTATGTTGTTCAGGACACCTCCCGATACTTCTTTAACAAAATTGGCTTCTACAGGAATTATTTCTCCTATTCGCCCTTTTTTGGTCTTCATTGACTGAACTATGACTTCGAAGTTAGTTACCCCAGGAAAATAAGACAAAAAAAAGCCATCTGCGAAATGAGGCCGAACAAGCTGAATTTTTGCAGGACCTTCGTTCTGATGTTTTAATGAAGCACCAAAAAATCTCATATCACCCCTGTGCGTCTTGAGATATCGAAGGACAAAAGTCATTAAAATCGATATTTCGCGAAAATCTCGGTTCCAGTGCATCTGACGTTGAATAACTTAAAACAAATCTTACGTAAAATAGTATTTTCTGTAAAATTATTCGGATACATTTTTTCGTACGACCCACGGTTTTCGGGATATAGCGCGATAAAGCAGGAGCGCGAATTCAAAATAGGTATTACTGTATTATACTGCGCAGCTATGACTATAAATGCATTTTTCCTGATCTGTTAGTCTGGAAAATAAAACTTTTAATAATAAAACTATTAGATATCTATTTATTTAAAATAAATAATCAATAACATAACTTGCAAGACAGGTTTTTTTCGACATGGTATCCCCAGTAGGCCTAATTAATTTTCTCGACTTTAGGAAAAGTTTTTTAACATTATCATTTTTTGCACCTGCCTGCCTCCTCGTCTTCGTCGGGTTCCACTAGCATCTGGATCAACAAATCATGTTATAACCCCTTTCACCTACCAGTGAAGCAGCTCGACAGCAAATTTTATCGCGTCTTCTACCAAGTGCAGATCTGGCTAGGGAAAAATCCACAAACCGAAGAGTGAGGTTGGGATTTAAAAAACGGAACAATACTACTGCCACCTGCCCCAGACGAACAATCAAATACAATAGGTCTGTTCATTCACAGTCAGAAAACTAGTTTCAACCAATGTTCCAAATTTTCCAAACCCATATTCACTCTGACTGGTTTGTGATTTTTGCACGAACAGTCCTAATATTCTCTAATTGTAAAAAGGGGTGTGGTGCGCAGTGCGGGTGTAGAAGAGTCGGGATGTAATAAGTATATACCCATTTTAAATTCGCGCTGCCGATTTATCACGCTATAACTTGAAAACGGTTGGTCGTACGAAAAAAATGTTTATGAACAATTTTGTAGAAAATACTATTTTACGTCTATTTTCATGACCTTTGACCTTCGATATATGAAGACACACCACAAAGGTAGGCATATGAAATTTTTTTTTGCTTCATTAGGATATCAAAAAGAAGGTCTCTGCAAAAATGCAGCTTGTTCGGCCTCATTCCGCAGAGAAAGTCTCATTTCCCTGGAGTAAGTCCCGATTAACAATATTGTTCGGAGGTTGATTCAAGAATGATCTCTCAGGAAAAAGCTAGAAAATACTGGATGTAAAAAAAAGTGTACCGGACTTCTTGGGGTGATACTACATATGAAAAAAAAAAGTTCCTATGAACATATGCCTTAAAATGCTTCTTCGTTGTGTGAGTAACTACCCTCTGCCCTTATGGAAACTACCCTTCCAGAACTACTGCAGCTTTTTTAACTATCACCATTCGCTTTGGCATCGAAGTATATGCAAGATTACCAAATTTCAAGTAGTTTGTCACTGTTTTAAAAAATAAATAAAGTCTGTTTTTTTTAAAAGATAATTCCCCAAGTCAAAAATTTAGTAACTATGTTGGCAACACAAGTCTTTTCTACATAAAAAATTTGAAACCATTGACAATTTTACATTGTATTGCCAACATAATGTCATTTTGACTTTTATCTTTAAAAAAAAAAAACAGACTTTAGAATCTATTATTTTCATCTACCGTTTGAAGCGCTGTAACTGCTTCAGGAAGCATCTTAGGGCATATGTTCATAGAAACTGCTCATTTTAATTTTCATATGTAGTATCACTTTTCAAAGTCTGGTACACTATTTTTTTTGCACCCTGTATAATATAATATGTAAACTTAATAACTATGCTGATTAAGCATTATCCTGAATAGGCGGTGTAGTACCTCTGTTACAGGTTAATGGCGCGACAGTAGCAGCAAAGCAGTGGCATAACATAACAGTACTAGGTTTAATATAAGTAAAGATTATTACACAATTACATCTAATGCAGTAGCATTACGATGACACTTCCACCCTCTATCCAAAAGGATATTTTTTGCATAACCTCAAATACATTTAAAAAAGGACACATCAAACAAACAATTATGTTATGACTCTGAGTTTCAAAAAAATATATCCAACTTATCCAAAAAAAAATTTATTTGATCAACAACTTACTAAAATCTAAAATTTGTTATTGGCACATCCAGACCGCGAAGTGAGTTCTTTAGGACAAGTGACTTGTTCAAACTTAACATTTGGATTGTCGGCATTTTGGTACCAACCGAATCTAAAGTGGCAACCAGCTTGAAGTTGTTTTGGCAACTGACTGCATTGAGAATCGGACGATACACCACCATATTGCTGACCCCAACCACTCTGAGGAGCATTCCATTGAGTCGAACATCCTCTAGTGAAAATACCAACACCACCTCCGGGAATTTGAATGTCGAAATGGTTGGAACCCAAATCTCCACCAGTGTTGACGTTTTGTACGATCATAGTTTTACCAGCCAAAGCATTGGTGAAAGTCAACTTCAAACAAACGCAACATTTGCTATTGTCTATGCCGCCGGTAAAGGAAGCTGCTACGAAACCGTACGCCAAAGAGTTGTTTACTGCCCATGGTTGGAGGTTGTTGCACACGTAAGAAGTACCATCGGAATCACAGCCAGAGCGTACAGAAGGTTGCACTTTAGTTTTACCATCTTTGCTGCAAGAGTTGACAGGAGTCGCAGTGGCTACGTTTTCTTTCCACGCGCAGGAGGGCTTGCAACAGTCCCAGTATCTGGTTGTGGTACCTGAACCACTGAGCTTGGCTTCAGAACCAATGGCTGCAAAAGACATTTTTTGTCAAGAATCGATATTATAGACAATAAAATTCTCTTACCTAGAACGCACAAAGCGATAGCTGCTAAGAAGGCTTTCATCTTGTATAGTTGATACATAAAACTTATAATTTGTAACTATCTGAATTTTCCTTATGTACCTTTTTTTTTGTCTTATCAGTAAGCACAAACAAAAAGATAGTGCGTACTAAAATAGAAACTTGATTACGACATAAAACTGTGTCAAGTGTTTTGTGTCAGTCTTTTTATCTTATCTAACCACTTGTCTCTTACCGACGTTTTGGCTGTTACAGCTATTGCGTTCATACAACTTTTGACGATATTTTGAATGTCGTAGAAAGTGATTCTTTTACTGGTTATCCCCTTTTCAATTTTCAACTTAGATCAATGAATAAAAGCTATAAGCATGATTGATGCAAATGTACTCTCTCAATATCTGATCTTGTTACTTTTAGATGTTCGCGACATTGCAAAAGAGCAGCATATGTAAAGAACGAGATTTAAAACAGCGACATATTAAAAGAGCGACATTTACAACGGCGACCTCTAAGCAAAAAGGTTGAAGTTTGAACCTACATTTGAATAACTTAAGTGGAAGGCTTGTATTAGGTTGCTATGCAATTAGAATTATCTATGATAGTTCGTACTTTGGAATGGCAAAGATTACTCATTCACTGGCTGAGATACAAGATGTGTTTTTGGGTTAACTGTACCAATTACTTTGCTTGGCAAAAAAGGCATATTTGTGTAAGGTTAATATCAGGCCAAGGATTCGTAAACCAATGTTTATCTTCAACAATAAACTGACTTCGCATGCTTGTTCTTGTTGGAAACATGTATAAAAAGTATAAAAACCTCATTAGCTTTTCCTCTGTGAACAACAGTAGACAAACATTTAAAGCAGGGATGTGCCGTAGACTATGAAATCTACTTTACGCGGTTTGTCTACCCATTGTCTATGTATTGTCTACATTCACTTTTTCCACGTAGACTATGTAAACTATGTAGACAATGTAGACAACAGAAAATTTGAAATTTGAGTAATTTTTTTGAAAGTTTGCATTGCATTAAATTCATATTGTATCAAATTAGACATTATCTGCAGTTTAATTAACTTTAAAAAGCAAAAAACAAAACAAAGCAAACACAGAAACATAACCTTAAATGCCTGCCAACTGTCAAAAATTGTATACTTTACGCGTTGTCTACATATTGTACACGTTGTCTACATAGATTACATAGTTCACATTGCCTACGCGTTGTTTACACCAGACGTAGACAATCTTTGTTTACGCGTAGATGCCCATCTCTGAATTAAAGTGAACCTAGAGTGAATTAAAGTTTCACAAAATTTAGAAGAGGATCCAAAGCTCTACTGCTTTCCAAGACCATCTACTCAATTTCTTGTCGAGGCAAGCTCAAACAAATGATCTGAAACGCATTTCTTTTGTAGATCATGTGAACCATTCTCACAGTAAATCAGTGTTGTTTTTGTCCACAACTGAAAATGAATGGAGTGATTCCCAAAAATTGTCAGCCTTTGCTGACTTAAAATGTCCAAGAAGTTGTTCTGATACACCCTCGAGTAATACATCTAACACCTCCTCCAAAGATTTCAATGTCCAAAGTTTTATAATTAAGATATTATTAGTGAAATCCTTAGCAAGTGGTAAAAGTCAAGTGGTTCCGTAAGCGCTATTGGGATATACAGACACTTGAAACTATCCTTGCGACGCACTTGTGAATAATTTAGTTTTTTATTGATAAGGAAATAGAGTATATAAGAAAAATTAATTCAATCATAAATTATTAGTTTTCTGTATCAACCATACAAGATGAAAGCCTTCTTAGCAGCTATCGCTTTGTGCGTTCTAGGTAAGAGAATTTTATTATCTATAATACTAATTCTTGACAAAAAATGTCTTTTGCAGCCATTGGTTCTGAAGCCAAAGTTAGTGGTTCAGGTACCACAACCAGATACTGGGACTGTTGCAAGCCCTCTTGTTCTTGGAAAGAAAACGTAGCCACTTCGACTCCAGTCAACTCTTGTAGCAAAGATGGTACCACTAAAGTAGACCCTTCTGTAACCTCTGGCTGTGATTCGGATGGTACTTCGTACGTGTGCAACAACCTCCAACCATGGGCAGTAAACGACACTTTGGCGTACGGTTACGTAGCAGCTTCCTTCACCGGCGGCGTGGACAATAGCAAATGTTGCGTTTGTTTGAAGTTGACTTTCACCAATGCACTGGCTGGTAAAACTATGATCGTACAAAACGTCAACACTGGTGGCGATTTGAGTTCCAACCATTTCGACATTCAAATTCCCGGAGGCGGTGTTGGTATTTTCACTAGAGGATGTTCGACTCAATGGAATGCTCCTCAGAGTGGTTGGGGTCAGCAATATGGTGGTGTATCGTCCGATGCTGAGTGCAGCCAGTTGCCAGAAGAACTTCAAGCCGGTTGCCACTTTAGATTCGGTTGGTACCAAAATGCTGACAATCCAAATGTGAACTTTGAACAAGTTACTTGTCCTAAAGAGCTCACTTCGCGTTCTGGATGTGCCAATAACAACTTTTAGATTTTTGTAGTTTAGGTTTTTGATTCAATAAAATTATTCTGAAAAAGGTGAATATGTTTCTTCTTGGGTGGTTTGATAGGTCTTAAATATCTTCTCACGTGAACCAACTTGTCAGGACCTGATACATGACACTGATCCCTGCTATGTGAACCAATTTTATATTGTTTGAACTGTTCTCCGCCTCGTCTAGGATAATTGCAGGGGCTTTGTCATTTGTAAGGGATTTGCTAGTACCTTTGACCAATAGCTGTTTGTCCGAATTTTACTATTTTACTGTCTGAAATAGCAATTTGGTCCCTTACTGGTCCTGTTGCTTCTAGTATTGTCGAAGTTACCCGGTTTGATCTTGAGATGCGTACACCTCCTTCTCCCATAGGATGTAGAGTAGACTGGGATCATTTCCATTAAACATTCTAACCGGTTCAGAATGGTATTAAATTTCTTGTTTTCATTCCATATCCTTCGTCCCGTATAGAGGACTAGAGACTAATTTTCTCTTGATCTTTCCAGACAAGCCGAGAGAGAACATCTCGTCTCGCGGCCTCATTATTTATTAGTCTCAATATAATTTTGTTCTATTATTCCAGATAATTCTTTTTATTTTTGCTGCATTATAAGATTTCTTATTCACCTATGGTATTAGAAAGTTCAATTCGTTATTGTTTTTGACTGTTAGCCATCAGCATCGAATAGAGATATTTGAAACTTGGTCAATTGTCAACTGCCTTTTCTCAAGTAAGCAAACGTTGGAACCATGTCTGCAACAGCGACCGTAAGCATACGACAAATATAACGCCGTTATCAGTCAAAATGTGGTTCTAAGTCGGAAATATTTCACTTAAAATAATGACGGCTTTTAATGGTAGGTATGTTTCACTGCCTAGTTAAACAAATTACTAGTTTTACAAAATGTTGATAAGACCTAGTATTCTAACAACTAGAATCAAGAAAGCGTTGTTTTCACATCCAGAACGAGAAGTTAGTTCTTCAGAAAAACTTACTTGCTCAAAGCTAACATTTGGATTGTCGGCACTTTCAACCAAATTTGTTATTGGCATATCCAGAATGCGAAGTGAGCTCATCAGGACAAGTAACTTGCTCACAGTTCACATCTGGATTTTCAGCATTTTGGTACCAACCAAATCTGAAGTAGCAACCGGCTTGAAGTTCTTCTGGCAACTGGCTGCATTCAGCATCGGACGATATACCACCATATTGCTGACCCCAACCGCTTTCAGGTGCATTCTATTGAGTCGAACATCCTCTATAGTCCAATTAAATGGTGATTCTTTGGTAACATGTTAGTGATAGAAGGTTTTTCAACGGAATTATATGTTTTTTGGGGTGCTGAAAACGAATCTGAAGTTAGCTGCCTCGTAGCAGAACCGGCTCAGGCCGAAAATTACGAAAAGCCTCGAAATTTGCGGACTTTTTTCGGTTTTCTGGTCATATCCTGCAAACGACGCATCGTACGGAAAATGTCACGGTATTCAAAGTTGAAGAGCATAGAATTCTACGTCGAATGATCTCCCTGACCTTATCACTGTTGAATTTATAAGCTCGCCATCGTCACTCGAAAAAAGGCCAATTTTTATGAACTTCTTGAAAACTGCAATAAGCTTACTTTTAGACGGCAGTGATTTCAAAACAACCACTCTACGTAAAAAAGCTATTTACCTAACAAGTGCGGAAAATTAATTTATCCGCACGAGTCTGCCGAGTGCGGGAATAGCTATTTTCCTAACGAGCGCGGGAAGAGAAATTTCTTCCCGCAAGAGTTAGGAACTATATTTTTTCTACGAGCATACTAAAGCTGATGTTACGAAGAGTTTAACTTAAATAATATGCGATTATGCAGAAGGTAGAATTAAAAATGTATTAAAAGATATTTATAAAAAGGTAAAGGTATAGGTATAGGTGTATCAACAATACAAACAATTCCATGTCACAATGATTATTACAAACTCTTCCCGCACTGAGTGCGGGAAGAAATCTCTTCCCGCACAGCAAATCGTGCGGGAAGAGCCATTTCCCGCACGCTTGTAGAAAAAAACATTTTTCGCAAGTACAATGGTTTTTCTACAGACGTGTAGTATACTTATACTACTACATAATTTGTAGCAATTTATAAATTTTTTTTTTGACAGCCGTGCGGATGTCCATGCGAACATTTTTTCCGCACTAGTGCAGGAAAACTAATGTATCGGTGCGGAAAATTGATTTTTCTGCACGGCTGTAGAATAAAATCATTGAATAAAAGTTGTACTGAACCAAATATTGAGTTCAGTGAGCACCAACATTGTAAATTTTGATCAATATACCTATTATGTATAAAAAATATGATATTATGGAAACCATAGACCTTACGTAACTTGAAAACGAATGCACATATTGAATTGCGGTTTGCGCCAAAATGTAGGTATTTTTTTGCTCCCTCTAAACGCTTGTTTAACAAAATGAAGGGGTCCAATAATAAAAAGTCTGTGCTTGTCAATACAATACACAAACTTCACTTGTCATCCCTAAATTATTACTTCATCCTCCATTTTTCGTAAGCTTGACTTGAGGATTTATAAGTATTAGGTATGCAGATGTAACAGGAAGTAATCAGTACCCATTTACAAAAAAAAATATAAATTTACTCATTTATTATTTACATTTCATTCGTTTTGCTGGGTCTCTAGAAGATTCGGGCGTAGGGTGTGTAATGGACGATGATGATCCAGGCTCAGGCTCTTCAGTACTCGGAGTGGCAGGGTGTTGCGGATGTTCTTCAACTGAAAGCAATGTGGATGTTGGTTGTTGATATTTTATGAAATCACGCATGAATAAAATTACCTTCTGAAGTCTCACCTTCCTCTGACAGTGGTGGAGCAAACGGAGGGTCATCTTCTTGCCCATCGAGATCGGTTGTTTCGTCCACGTTGGTGCAAGTATCGGGACAATTGATGCAGACTTTGCGGCAGAACAGATCTGCGCGCCTGGAGCCACAACGGCTACCACAGTAGGTGCGACACTTGCTGCATTAGTTTGTCAGGAGCCGGAGGTTTCAGAGTGGTAAGTGGGATCAGGCGATTTTTGGTTGATATTCAACCCCACAGTTTCGGATCCAAAATGTTGCCGAGCCACTGTTGCACTTGCAAATATACACGAAAGCTAGGCTGGTAAGCTGAAGCATCGCTGGGAGGGATGGATACAATGTTACTAGAAAACTTGAAGGTAGATGTCACGTACTGCTTGTATCGTAGCACATTCAAGCTAGTTGTTAGGTGGTCAGCCTCGTATAGGGCAACCACAAATTTTTCTCCAGCAGCAGCAATATCCACTTGCTGGACTGAAAGATCCAAGAATTTTCCAACGGTCTCTTCCAGCTCTGGAAAAAGAGAGTCTTCAAGAATTTAGTTTTACCTTAATTATACATATACAGATGACGTGGAGTCGCATCCACTCATCGCATGCAGAAACATCATGTGCTTGGCAAGATTTTGTTTCACTGCAGACTGCGGTTGGTACAGTAACTGAGGCGTTTTCTCCTTCCCTGGCTTCAGCAGATACACGTTTGGAGAAGTGCTAAGACCCATCATAATTATTAGCAGATCTATATCTTCCCCGACGATCGCAACAGTTTGATTAGTCGAAGCCAATGATTCAGTCCGAAGAATCAATGTATCTATTTGAGTTTCCCATATATTTATAAGTGGTATGTGAAGCTAACCCGCCACACCCAACGGGCAACAACATAATGGATGTGTTGAGAGGGAGGGGGTCAGGTAGACAGTGACTAACAACGGCGTCGACCGGTACTGCTAAAAGTTTTCAATGAGTGGTTGTTGAAATCACTGTCGTCCAAGAGAAGTTTATTGCAGTTTTCACAAAAGTTAATTAAATTGGCCTTTTTCGACCGACGATGGCGAGCTTATAAATCGAACAGTATCAAGGTTAGGGAAATTATTGGACGCAGAATTTTATGCGTATCAACTTTGAATATCGTGACATTTTCCGGACGATGCGTCGTGTGCAATTGCAAGATATGACCAGAAAACCGGAAAAAGTCCGAAAATTTCGAGGTCTTTGGCGTTTTTCGACCTGAGCCGGTACTGCTACGAGGAAGCAAACTTCAAATTCATATTTAGCATCTCCGAAAACATGTAATTTCGTTGAGAAACCTTCAACCTCTTTCATGTTACGAAACAGGCACTTCTGAACACCATTTGATCAGACTACTAGTGAAAGAACCAACACCACGTCCAGGGATTTGAATACCGAAATGGTTGACACTCAAATCATCTCCAGTGTTGATGTTTTGTACAATGGAAGTTTTACCAGCCAAAACATTGGTGAAAATCAGCTTCATGCAAACACAACATTTGCTATTGTCCGCGCCGCCGGTGAAGGAACCTGTTACGTAATCGTATGTCAAAGTGTCGTTTACAACCCACGCTTGAAGGCTGTTACACACGTAGGAAGTACCGTCCGTACCACAGCTAGAGCGTACAGAAGGCTGCACTTTAGTGGTACTATCTTTGCTACAAGAGTTGACTGGAGTCGGAGTGGCTTCGTTTTCTTTCCAAGAGCAGGAGTCCAGTATCTGGTTGTGGTACCAGAACCACCAAGTTTGGCTTCAGAAGCAACAGCTGTGAAATAGTTTTCTATATTAGACAATAAAACATAAAATTGTATTACCTAGGACGCACAAAGCGATAGCGGCTAAGAAGGCTTTCATCTTGTATGGTTGATACAGAAAACTTAAAATAATTTATAACCAACTGTTTTTTTTTATATACAATTTCGTTCGGCCCGGCAACTAACACCAGCGAAGGTATCAAATTGCACCCCACTTCAATAGAGGACTACAGACGAATGCAGACATTCCTCGAGGAAAACGGAGAACCGTTCCAGTCCTTTTCTCTTCCAGAAAAAAAAGAAGGTCAGGGTAGTCATCCGTGGGCCACTGGAATACTGGACGACCGATTTCATCAAAGACGAGTTAAAAAAAGAAAACCTCCATCCGACGTCAGTCATAGATGGTACAACGCCAAGAGTGCCCCAGAAGCGTACTGGTGATCCTTCCAATCGCTGAGACCTCGATTTACACGCTCAACTACATAAACAACATAAGAGTGAGAGTTGAAATTCAACGAACACAACAGCGATCCACGCTTGCCACAGATGCCAGCTTCACGAACATTCTCAATCTAAGCGCCAAGCCATACCCAAATGTGTTAAATGCGCCGGCGACCGCCACACCTCTCCCTGTACCAAACCCAAGGAGGAAGCTGCCACATATGCAAACTGCGGCGGATATCATCCAGCTTCTTATCAAGGCTGCCTGAAAAATCCCGAACATCAGAGGAAGCCCGCCTACAAGCCTGCCCCCCAGTCAAACTTCGTCTGGGGCCAACAGCCGAAAATGCAGCCAACCAGTACCCAGCAACAGCAGCGCCAACAACAACAACCCTCAGCGCGCAATCATCATTGGAATCACTTGTGCGATAGATGAACTCCATTCAACAATAACTGAATGCCATGCTGCAAAACCATAACAAAAATTAGGGATTTGCAGAACAGAGCTCCACCGGGATAAAGACACCCACTCTAGGGACCCAAACTCCGAGGTAGCCAAGACTCGCCTCCCACTCATGGATCCGTCACGATGGACCACCAATAACTCTACCACGACCTGGGAATCCAGAATACGCACTTGGATAAATTTGGGAACATGAAACTTTAAAAAAAATCCCAACCACTAAAATGTTGCCATCTAGCCAGGTACCAAAAAAAACTACCTACTTGAAAATAGAATCACATTTAGTTTTTTTTGAGTGTTTGAAGACTTTCGAGGAAAATAAGGACATTTTAAATCCTGTAGAAAGTGATTCTTCACAAAAAATTCTGGGTCTATTTTTTTATCAAATCCTCACATCTTCCAACCTTCCAAATTTGACTTTCGGTCAGTACAAGGTGCTGAGTGGCGTATTTGCTTGGAATCTACCAGTGAAACATATGGAACTCCATCAAATCATATTCTCTCTAAGTATTTGTTCGTGGCAGCTCAGTATCACTAAGTATCAGTGAAAAGGAGTAGCGGGAATAGGACAGCAAAAAAAAAGACGTTCTTATTCATTCAGCGACGTTTCGACCCATATATTTTGGTCTTATTCAGGCTAAAAATATGGTTTATTTTTAACCATATATGAAATGTTGTCATTACTGACTTTTCAAAAATTTGAAAATGTCACATTTCTGTCTTTTCATTTTCCTGCTCCATTAAGCCCGGGACACATCTATCATGCATTCTTCCAATCCGACTCCGATCATACATTCGGGGTCCTCATTCTTGGAACAGGGAGCAGCGTTCGTAGGCGTTCTTCTGGGAACGTTGCTCCCCTGTTCCAAGAATAAGGACCTTGATTGTATGATTGGAGTCGGATCGGAAGAATGCATGATAGATGTGTCCCGACCTTTACCTGTCCCAGGACGGGAATTCAGGACGGAAAATGGAGCAGGGAAATATTTCCCGTTCTCATTTTCTTCTTCATTTGCCGACCTCATTTGGTTGCCCCGAATTTTTTTTTTCAAGAAATTATGGTTAAAAATAAAATAGTATACAACCCTCGACGGGAAACTTCATTGCTGTCTCGAGGTTCAGTTTATCTCGACGCTACGCGTCTCGATAAACTATAAAACCTCTCGACCAGTAATGAAGCATTTCCCGTCTCGGATTGTAATATACTATTACATAACACGTCGCTGAATAAATAGCAACGTTTTTTTTTTTTTTGCTTTCCTATTCCCGCTACTCCTTTTCACTGTTGCGTAAAGCAGGGACGATACCACATAATGGAAATCACTACCAACATGAAGTTCTTCTAGACGATCTGATACAATACCAATAATAATTGAAGACTAGATCTAACTTAGGTCACGCGTTCTCCTGACACCTTAGAATGTCCTTAAGAAATTCCATTTATGCAGAAATCTAGACTTTTACAAGTAATATTTAATTCAACTCTCAAAATATTATTAATGTGGAGTAAGTGGTAATAGTTGTATTCCTTTCACACCTAGGAGGAGCTCTAGAATAGCTTATGCCTTTCGAAAAGTGTTTGTTGCACCTGGAACTGCTTAAGCCCGAACTTAAACCATTTAATGCATGCAAGCTAGCGCATCTGTTCCTTTCAAATCGGGGTCGACTTACACCGGAGCGAGTAGCTCTACTGTTTTAAACTCTTGAAAGGAATACAACTAAAACTGGTATACACCGAAGTCCGAAGTTAACCGGCCCACTGAAGTGACCGGCCCACCGAGTTTCACTCGGTAACTCGCCAGGTCCTAAGAAGAAAAATATCCTACTTATTCAAAAATTAATCAATTTATTAAAAAAAAGTATGTGGCAGCATTTAAAAATTGTTATTTTCACATCCAGAACGAGAAGTGAGTTCTTTAGGACAAGTTACTTGTTCGAAATTAACTTGTGGATTGTCAGCATTTTGGTACCAACCGAATCTAAAGTGACAACCGGGTTGAAGTTCTTCTGGCAACTGACTGCATTCAGAATCGGACGATACACCACCGTATTGCTGGCCCCAACCACTCTGAGGTGCATTCCATTGAGTCGAACATCCTCTAGTGAAAATACCAACACCGCCTCCGGGAATTTGAATGTCGAATTGGTTGGAGCCCAAATCCCCACCGGTGTTGACGTTTTGTACAATGAAAGTTTTACCAGCCAAGGCATTGGTGAAAGTCAGCTTCAAACAAACGCAGCATTTGCTATTGTCCACGCCACCGGTGAAGGAAGCTGCTACGTAACCATATGCCAAAGTGTCGTTTACAGCCCACGGTTGGAGGTTGTTGCAAACGTAGGCAGTACCATCCCAATCACAGCCGGAGTGTACAGAAGGTTGCACTTGAGTGGTACCGTCAGCGCTGCAGGAGTTGACTGGGTTCAAACTGCCTACATTTTCTTTCCATGAGCACGAGGGCTTGCAACAGTCCCAGTATCTTGTTGTAGTACCGGAACCACTGAGCTTGGCTCGGACACCAATAGCTACAATTTGATTATCAAAAATATTTTTGAACAACCTTAAAAATTATCTCACCTAAAATGCACATAAAGATAGCTGCTAAAAAGGATCTCATCTTGGTATTTTTTGAATGCGATATTATGTGTATTTCCATTTTATAGTACCTTGTTTTTTATCAATGCAGATAGGTAATCTTTTGAAGTAGGGAATTTGCGAAAAAAATACACAAACATTTCATAATATGCCAGCAACCGACTCACTTCAACATTATCAATGCATTTTGTACGGCAGAAACCGCATATCGTTATTCTGATGCTACTGGATGAACATGTATAGCATGCAGCAAGTTATAGCGCAAATTTAATGTGGACGCTTTAAATTTTATGAAATCTGGCTATTATTTTTTGCGATTGTTTATGCAAGGGCTTATCTGCTTTCGGGTGCCATCCTTTTAGCGCTCCTGAGTTACTCCGAAGTACTCGGAATACAGTAACCCGTTCGGGTGAACAGAGGTTGGAGTTAGCGAGCTGCTTTTATTTCCTGGCCTCTTACTCCTGGAGTACCTACCATTTTATGGTTGCGTCACGCTCCAGGCAATACGGTTTTAGGCGTTCGAGTGCAAAACGCATGGAGAATAACGGGTGTGAAGTGTTCTAGGAGCTTCGCACTCTGCACTTGAAAGCGGCTCTTATCAGCAATTTAATGCAAAACGACCAGGTTGACTCCCAAGAACTTTACAATAACCCAAGTAACGGTCAAACCAAAACCAATCAGCCTGAAAATTATGATGAAACTCCCATTGAACAAAATTTTCAAGAGGCGGAGCCTCTCGTCGAGATACCGTAAAAATACATTCTATTTATGACAAAAAAGATCTCCCGTATCCCCGTTCTAGACACACGAGCCTCAAAATCATTCATTAATCCGGAAATTGCTGAAAAATATTTCGAAAATTTCATAAGAAAGGAGCCATTCACAATTTCCTCTGTTTTTCAAACAACTACTAGAGACCAATGTACCGAAATTCCAGCCTTCGAAGAATTCCGAAAATAAATTAGAATTCTATTTATTCAAATTTCATCATTATTTTGATGGCCTTATTGGCAATAACACTTTAAAAGATCTTAATGTGAAATTGGACTTACAAAATGACTTACTTAAAACACCTAGAGCTCAAATAAAATTGTCACACTATAAGCAAAGTCATAACTATTATTTTTAATTCGAATTGAACCCAACACTATAGAAATATTAAACATCCCTGTAACAATATCAAATGGCAACATTAGTATTTACAAAATCTCGCTGTCCAACTGTATTTTAAAAGAATGCTTAACAACTGCGAAGACGGCTATGCCCTAGTAGAAATTCATAACAATACTGATAGTGTTCAAGAAATATCTCTGTACAACCCAATTCCCGTACAAGCGTTCAATAAAGCCGATGTTGAAATCTATAATATTTCTAGAGAAAACACACCTAATGAATTCCCTAATAGAATCGATATTGTCGATATCATTCGAACCCAACACATGAACGAAGAAGAGAAGTTTTACATAGAAAAATTATGCCAAAAATATTCGGACATATTCCATCTCAAAAATCAACCTTTGACTTTCACTAACCAAGTAAAACATAGGATAAAAACTACTGACGAACTTCCGGTCTATACCAAATCGTATCGATATCCGTTTAT